AGTGCTCTAGGGGAAAAAATGCAAGTTTGACGAGGCAGTGAAACCATTTAGGAGACCACTATACTTTTCAGAATAATGGAACATGACAGTCTCTCATAAAATAGCAAAATATATGGAAGAAGGGACTGAAATAGCTAAGAAGTAGAATCAATAGGACTTATGTATGAATAGCTATAAATATATGACAGGTGATTTTAGAAAGGAAATCTAACGGAATTCTCGGAATTTTTGCTTGAAAAATTACATAGAAGGTGATTAGATAAAGGAGTAAGGGAGGAATTATGATTACTTAATTCTAGAGATTAGCTTGAATGTCTATATAAAAAAAATTTCAAGTAGTCTAAACAGCCTGAAATAATTTACATAGAAAAGAAAGGAATCCACTCCAATTATACAGTCTTTCAGCAGATTGTCTATTGATTCTTATTCTATTTCTTCCTTTCTCTGTCACATTCTAACATTCATTTTTATTTTAAAAAGTTTATACTATCAAGACAGTGAACAAATACAATCACTATGTGTTCTAAGAATCTAACAAAATTTATTATGAACTTTATTACTTTATCCAATATTTACATGAGCATTCACTGAAAAATTACATGGTCAATAGTTACTTAAATAATATCTATATAGGTTGATTTTAACACCTTAAAATAATTTTAAAAAGAGCACTCATGGGAACCAGCAGTTAGCGTAATGTCTATGTCCCTGGACTCCCACATAGTCGACCACAGTTCGTGTCCCGGACCTGATGGCTTAAAACTCACGCCGGACGCACATGCGTGCGTGCCCAAGATCCCGAGAGGAGAATGGAGGAGAAGGAATTGCGGCATGACCATCCCCCCTGGGGGGTGATTTCTCACTTTCTGTCTCTACGTCTCTCTCTGTCTGTCAGGCGAGCGCACACGCCCTATAGCGAAAATCTCTCCAAAAAAAGAAAAGGCACTCATTATTGTAGACATTTAATCTATGAGAGTCATAAAAAAATTTAGATCCTTTTGGTGTACTACTATAATAAGATTATTACTGATTTTCTTCCATGTCATATGAGCTATCCGCACTGGAAAATGACTGTTTTTCATCTCAATAATCTATCACTAGACACAATCACCACTCAAAGGAAGGTTTTAAGTCTAATTATTTTGGTGAAAATAGTAAGTAGAAGTCCCTATTGAGAGCCCACATGTTTCCTTCTTGCATAAATACAAAATTCATTTGACATGCATTCTCCCATTAACCATTGATTTGCTTCTTCCCATTATTTATTCTTGTCATCTTTTATGAAGAGGCAAATTAAATATAAAAATCATAATTTCATTCTCATTTATGTTTTAACTGTATATATAATAAGTCTTCAAAAACAGTGTTACTTCTAATATGAGTAGTAGTAGTTTTTTATTAATTAGCAGCAAAAAAAAAAAAAAGTTAACTCTTCTGTTTCTCTGGTAAGGAATAAGCAATACCATATTGTGGGAGATCTTAAAACCAAGTCTCTATTCCCAAGGACACTAAGCTGTAGGAGTTGACCTTTCCTAGTGAAAACGGAGAGCAAATTAAAAATCCATCTTCTAATCAGTATGAGGCTGAGATACTTTGGTTTCCAAACCACTAAAATTTTAATGAACAATTCACCATAAAAGCATTTATTGATAGTATAGTTGATTAACAGTCATACATTAATAAATATTAATGGGCTTTATAAGTTACCTGCTCTAAAATTTTCTGTCACAAACATGAGAAGATTTGAAAATTATTGATTGTTTACACATTGATTATACAAAGTAACATCTTTTTGAAATTAAGGCACATAAAATTAACTTTCCAGGATGCATTATACTGATCATACGGAACAGATGAAGGGAGCATGTTTGGGATATTTAAAAATCCTTTTAAGAGCCCAAAGAAAATCATGTTTATAAAGATCGGGTTATGTTGGTGGACTCCCACATAGTCCACAATTTAAGTTTCAGACCCAGTGGCTTAAAACTCATACTGAGCATATGTGCGTGCATGCCCAAAATTCCAAGAGGAGAATGGATAAGAAGAGATTGTGCTGTGGCCATCGCCCTGTGTGTGTACGTGGGTGATTTTTCGCTTTTAGTCTCTCTGTTTCTGCCTCTCTGGTGAGCCTCTGTCTCGCTGGTGAGCACATGCTCCCTATAGCAAAAATCTGTCTCAAATAAAAAAAAAAAAAACATATAAACATCCATAAGGTAAGAAGGTATTTTCTCTGTATTCTAGAAATCTATTCACTATAAATCTATTAACTAAGTTTGTAATATGTCTTTTCTATAGAGATATTAATAAATCTGTTTGGGCACTTAAAGCAGAGTTACGAAATTAATGATAATGCTTCGAATAAATTTTGGAGGTCTTTAACTTCTTTGGTTAGATTTATCCCTAAGTATCTCATACTGTTTGTGACTATGGTAAATGGAATAATCAGAAAGACAGACAGAGGCAGCCTACTTCACAGTGTGGCATAGTCAAGCTACAATTCCTTCTCCATTTCTCTACCCTGCCAGGCAGGATTCGGGGCATGCACGCACACACATTTGGCCTGTTTTTCAAGTTGTTGGAGTCAGTATCTGAATCATGGTCAGCTATGTGGAATCTAGTTCTCTTAACCACAAGGCCATGAAGTCAGCCTATATACCATCTTTTAAATTAGGATTTATAATATAGAAGCAAAAGAGTAAAAGGCAGTGTGGTAAAAAGATTTAGAACTATTTATCTAGAGTTAACTAGATATCTCTAAAGGAAAAGTATTAAAAATATGGCAAAATATAAAACTGCTGAGTACCTTGAATTTGTTACCTGATCACAAATTATGGACATCATGAATGTCAAAGACAAACAAAGCCCGACACACAGTAACAATAGCAAGACAGATTTTATTCAGATACTACAGTCGATGGAAAAAGACTTCAGCATAAACTGGGCTCAACCGTGATGAAACAAAAAACAGGAAGTTGTTCACATGCTGAAATGCGCTAAAGGACACAAAGGCGGATGGTCAATGCATCTGGCCACCTGACTTTCCTAACTGGTGCTTACAAAGTTAGGTTCCTACGCTCTCACAGTCTGGAGAAAGAGGCCCTAGCTTTCTCCTCTTGGGATCTTGGGCATGCACGCACACGCGCCTGGTGTGAGTTTTAAGCCACCGGGTCCAGGACTTGAACTGTGGTCGACTACATGGGAGTCCAGCGACATAGCCATTACGCTAACTGCTGGTCCTGGCCCTATCTATTTCAATGATTAAGTTTCAAAAAGATGTCTCCTGGGTCCTTGAGAAAGATATGCCTAGGGTATAGAAGATAAATTTCACAGGAACCAAAAAAAAAAAAAAAAAAGATTTACAATTGCAAGCTTTAAAGTAAATATTCTGAGAAAAGAAAGGGAGGTCAGGGTCTACAGTCAGGTTTTGGCTGAAACAAACAGTACATTCTTTTGGAAATGTTGATTTTTCTCAGGAAGGCATTTAAGAGGACTTTAACTGGGGAAACAGCCTTGAGCTGTTAAAAAGGTGATCTAATGTACAGGGTGACTATGGTTAATAATACTACACTGCGTAGTTAAATTTGCTTGTGGTGGTGTAGATCTTAGGTGCTCTAACCACGCACGCACACATACATACAAATGGCAACTATGTGAAGTGACGGATGTTATTTAGCTTCTTGGTGATAATCATTTCATGTTATATATCAAATCTTCATACCATTCACCTTAAATTGTATATACAAGTTTTAGTTGTCAATTACATCTCAATAAAGTTATTAAAAATTTTTAAAAAATAAAACAAAGCTAGTGTTTGTTCCTGTTGCTTAGGGTAGAGGATACACAGAATCTTCTGTGCTAAGTCTCCAGTTCTTCCAGGCCAAGGTTTAGACTACTCAAGAAGAGAGCTCAGAGAAGCCTGACTAAAGAGAGAATCTCTGTCACAAGTAACTTACAGTAATTAACATTTTGGGCTAGGCAGTGGTACAGTGGTAATGTGGACCCACACATGGTATAGGTCCTGGTTCAAGTCTCAGGACATCCCTGAGCACACCAGGCATGAATACCCATGATCTGGGCTGGCTGTGACTAGGGGTAAATCATGACCTGGGAATCCTGTTGGTGGTAACAGTGTCTCTCTCTCTCTGTCTCTCTGCCATTAAAGAAATAAATAAACTTTTAAAAATTGAGAATTTGGGGCAGCCTTGTGGTTTAGTGGTTAAGAAAGACAGATTCCACAGGGCCAGCCACATGGTTTCAATCCTGACCAGAGAGCTAAAAACATACCCTAGGTTCTTGTGAGTATGTGCCCCAGATCCTGACAGAAAGGAGGAATGAAGGAGAAGGGATTGAGGTACCTTGGGGTGCTGCTTTCATTCTTTCCCATTTTCTCTCTTTCTAGTGAGCACATGCACTCTCTGGCAAAATCAATCAATCAATCAATCGATCACAACTTTAAAAAAATGACTAATGTCTATAGACTTCTACTATGGGTCATGACATAGCTAGTAGTTTACAGCATCTCATTTAATTCTCGTAGTGCCCCTCTGAAAGGATAACTGCCTTTACTGGATGGGAGGGTGTTAAACAGATAAGTGAAGTTAAGTAAATACTAGAAACTCTGACGAATTAATGTCCTAATTCCTCTTAAATCTATTTTTATGAAGTAGTACTACATAAACAAGGATACTTCAGAAAGTTTATGGATAAATGGAGGGAACGTATGCATTTAGGGGCTAGTAAGTGGCATGGTAGTTAGGATACTGAACATGTCAAGCAACAATTTGAGTCCTGGATCTGGTACCTTGCTGTCTCACTTTCTCTCTCTTTGTCTCTGTCACTCTCTGGTGAGTACATGTATGCTGTACTAAATTAAAAATAATAATAAAATTAAATATCTTTTAAGAATAATATTAAGTATGAGTTTATTGTGGTACAAATAATTGAAATCTATAAATATTAATAGTTTGTTCTAATGTGCATTTTCCACACATTTTTTGAAGACCTCTCATAGAAACCAAGAGAATTCAGGAGGAAAAACTGCAAGAAATTGAATATGCAGGCACAGTGCAGAATGATGAACACTCAGCATCATTGAGAGTAACTATTTACAAGGAGGAACAGCAGTAGGTCCCCGGTCTCCTGCTGACTGAACATACTTTCCACGACAACTATTTATTAACTTATTCCCTGATTTTCGTGTTTTTTTTTTTTTTTTTTTTTTTGAGATTTCCAACTTGATAGTTGGTGTGAGCTTCTCTTACTCTGGGCTTTAAGGGAAGTAGAAACTCTCCCCTTATCTTATTATTACTAAAACCACCCAAATCTGGTTTTCACAAATCCCTTTATTAAATGTATTTTTATAGGTTTTTACTGAAAAACTACAGGAAAGCAGACAAATCTTAAACTTGATGATATATGGGAAATAATATAAAAATCTTACAAGTTATGCTACCAATAGTTCTAAATTTAAGTGTCAGTTAAAATAGGTCTGATTGTATTGATTAATTTTAGCATTTTGTCAGTCCATAGCAGAGTAACCAACATACCCAGGATGCCTATCATATGCCAAACACTGTGTTAGATGCAAAGGATGAAGTAAGAATATGACATGCTCCCAATCTCCAGCAAATCACTGTCTAAGACATGATTTGGTTATGGCTGGGGTTGGTGAGAATGCAGTCTGACATTTATGAATAGATTCATTAAATACAATGTGCCATGTTCTCTGCTCTTCACAAACTTCCTTCTCAGTTCTTTGATTTCCCTCTTGTTTTCATTAGAAATGATCTAGACTGGGGAGACAAACAGGTGGCTTTAATTAGTGAGCACTGAACTGACATCATGAATTCAAAGAGGTTCATTCATGGAACAGTAGAAATTTCCACTTTTCTTTTTTCCTCCCCATTTGCTATTCCTGCTACTCTTGAAAACAAGTTGAAACAGGCACACACATATGCACACGCTTTTTATGTGAAAGTCAAAATTGACACCACTTTTCATAGCCTTAGACTGCTGAATTTGTGTTTTAAACCTTGTGTTCAGTCTAAAAAGGCATGTTCTTTGAAACAAAAAGCTAAGCACAAAACTTTCAAACTTCCAGTTTCCTTCGGTCCACAGCCAAATAATTAAATTTAAAGTTTACATCTTCGTGCAAAAAATCTGTTGGAAAGTGTACACTGTGAAAAAATTGCATGAATTTTAATCTTTTTGCACCGAATAAATCTGTGTTTTAATTCCATTTTCCACAAACTTTCTGAAGCACCCTCTTATCAGGAGAAATTTTTATTTTTACGAAGGACAAAAACAGTACTGCAGTTCAAGAGAATTGAACTTCTTACAAGTGAAATTATGAAATGCTGGTATCACTTTCTATACACACAAACATTTGTAAACAATGTATCAACACAGTAAATAAAAATTTTTAGAAATATTTGGCATCTCAAAATGTCAACATTTTGATGCCAACAGTAGTTACAATTTGCTATAGCTACTGAAAATAAATATTTATTTTAATCAGAACTCATATACGTCTCTGAACATATTGCATTTTATTCAAAAATACATGTTTTTTTATTGAGAAAATGCAGAATTACTTACTTGTTAACGTAAGAGGTGACTGTGATTTTAATATATGGGTCAGGGTACTATAAATTTTCTTGCAAGTCACCAAGGAGAATGGAAGTCAAAGCAAACAATAGAAAGAGACTTAGAAGAAGATTTATATACTCAGTTTTAACTTCGGTAATTAAGAGCTAATTTTAAAGATGCCTCTGCATATGCACTCTTTCCCAACTGCTTCCCCCCTGGATACACTAAAACAAACACTTGTGCCTTAGTCAAAGAGAAAAGACAGGGCTTCTTTACAATGATAAAACAGCAGTTGATTCTTATCTGTGTGTCTAGGATGCTGCATATCTCAAGTCACTGCCTTGGCTAACAAGTCAGTTTCTGGCTTTTTGTTTGTTTGTTTTTTCAAATTAGAAATTTTTAAAAAATGAGGCGAGGGGATCCCTACATCTATGTGCCCTCTTTAGACACATAACAGTATGGCTTACAGATCTGATTTATAGAGCACAAATTTCTAGCCATGAATTCATCACTGAACTCATGGGAAGATTTAATCACTTCCTGGATTTTATATATATATATATATGTTGGGTTTTTTTGAGAGGTTTTCACTATAGGGTGCGTGCACTCGCCAGACAGACAGAGAGACATAGAGACAGAAAGCAAGAAATCACCCCCCAGGGGGGATGGTCACGCTGCAATCCCTTCTCCTCCATTCTCCACTCGGGATCTTGGGCACGCATGCACACGCGCCTGGCCTGAGTTTTAAGCCACCGGGTCCGGGACGCGAACCGCAGTACATATATATATGTTGTGTAATGAATAATGCTGCTTGTTTTTGAAGTAGATAAAAATAGCCTTATATTAAAAATAAAGGAACCTTCTGGGGCTTGTTTACTTGAATCATAGTCAAGGCAAGGTTAGAATAAAAACATTTATTTAAGTGAGTTTTGCTTTAATAGCTCAGTTAATAAGTATTTCCAAGTGAAAGAAAGGGTGAGAGAATTTGTGTTTAATGCATTTCAATTTATCATTTTGATATAGAGTCATGCCTCACTTAATAAGAGAGATCTGTTCTGAGAAATGTGTCATTAGGTAATTTTGTCATTGTTTGAAATTCATAGTATGTACTTACACAAACTTAGAAGGATAGCCCTACTCTGCACCTAGGATAAATGGTATAGCCTATTGCTCCTAGGCTACAAACTTGTACAACATGCTAACAAAGGTACAGTAAAAATACACATAGAAAAAAAGATTTTTAAAAATAGTATACTGCAACAGGACAATTACCATGAATAAAGCTTGCAGAACTGGAAGTTGCTCTGGGTAAGTCAGGGAGTGAAGGGTGAGTGAATGTGAAGGCCTTCAACATTACTGTACACTGCTAGAGATTTTATAGACTATATAGCTACATTAAACTTACAAGAACTTTTTTCTTTAATAATGAATTAATCTTAGATTACTGTAGGTTTTTAATTCATAAACTTTAAAGTCTTTTTTAAATTTTTTGATTCTTATTTTATAATAACACTTTGCCTAAGATATAATCACAGGGCCTGCAGATGACATACTGGTTAAGGTTCTGAACTCCCGCATGAATCCTGGACCTGGCAGCTTCCTTTCTCACTTTCCCTCTCTCTCTCCATCCCTCTGGTGAGCATGCAGACCCTATTGCAAAAATTAAAATAATGATAGTAAGTAAAATTAAATATTTTTTAAAAATATATAATCACACTGTATGGCCATAAAGATACGTATTTTTTATATCCTTATTATGTAAACTTTAACTTTTTCAACTTTTTTTTTTTTGAGAGAGGTTTTCACTATAGGGCGCATGCGCTCGCCAGACAGACAGAGAGAGACAGAGAGACAGAAAGTGAGAAATCACCCCCCAGGGGGGATGGTCACGCCACAATCCCTTCTCCTCCATTCTCCTCCTGGGATCTTGGGCACGCACACACATGCACCCAGCGTGAGTTCTAAGCCACCGGGTCTGGGACGCGAACCGCGGTCGACCACGTGGGAATCCAGCGACATACCCATTACACTAACTGCAGGTTCCCTTAATTTTGTTAAAAGCAAGACTTAAACATTGATTAGCCTAAGCCTACACAGGTCAGTATCATCAATATCACTGTCTTCCACCTCTGTATCTTTTCCCATTAGAAGATCTTCAGAGACAATTGCAGGCATGGAGCTTTCACCTGCTAAGAAAATAATTCCTTCTTCTGGAATATCTCCCAAAGAACCTGCCTGAGGTGCTTCTTGAAGAAATGTCACCCTTTTCAGAAATATGTCCACAGTGGTTTGCTTGGTTTGTTTCTATTCCTCATTATAAATTTGCTAGTACCCAGATAATATACCATAATCATTCCTCTCTATTAATGAAAGCCTTTGGTGTTGAGATCCATGTTCTCAAATTTTCAAAGGTTTTAATGAGCTTATCAAGGTTTGCAATCTATTCTCCTGCACACTTCACTATGAATTTTCTTGAAGTTTCTTTTTCAATTGTCTCTTCTTCAGGTATGCATTATTATCCCAGTTCCAGCAGCTCTTTAGTCAATTTATGAGAAACCACCTCTTCAATTCCAGCCTCATCTACACTAGGTTAAAGTTCTTAGCCATGTCAACCCTTGCCTTGCCGATTTTTGCAACCTCTTCATTTGTTGAAAATCCTTCTACATCATGGACAACCGTCATGAGTGTATTCTTCTAGAAGCAATTCATACACTCCTCGGTGATATCACCTCAAGCCCAAGCAAGGTCCTTGATGAACTGATATGTGTTTTAACCCTTCCAGAACTGCATCAGTGTCTTCTTAGTGTCTTCCTCATTTGCAGCAATAGCCTAGGCAAAGATCCTCTTCAGGCAGTAAACTTTAGAAGTGGCTATAACTTCTTGATCTAATGGTTGGATCAAAGAGATGAGGTCTGGAGGAAGAAGCACTACTTTGATATTGAAATGAAGATCATCAGTAAAAGCAGAAGCATTAGAGCAGAACCATCTAGTGCAGGAACATTAGAAACAATATGTAAAATATTGAAAGGTATGTTATTTTTTAAATAGTATTTTTCTATTTTGCTAAAATAACAAGAGGGTACTTAGAAGAGAAGCTGGGTCTCCTGTGACCTCTTGGTGCTCCTGCAGTACACTGACAATATATGTTTATATTGATACACTCAACCACGGGTTCTCACTTTGCTAGGTTACAAATTTTAGTTTGTAGCCTGAAACACTGCCTCCAGGCAAGATTGCTTATCCTGCCCCTATAACTTTGAAACCTGAAATTAACTGGTCTCCTAAAATTCCTTTCCAGGTATCCATTTCCAGAATAGAGTGGTATCATTTATATTAAATATTTCCTTAACAATCAGCTTAACTAGGGTTTTAAAAATTCTTCAACTGTCTGGGACCAGCAGATGGTATAATGGCTACGTCACTGGACTCCCATGTAGTCGACCATGGTTCGAGTCCCGGATCCAGGGGCTTAAATTGACAACAGGTACGTGTGTATGTGTGCCCAAGATGCTGAGAGGAGAATGGAGAAGGAATTGTGGTGTGGCTATCCCCTCTGTGTGTGGGGGGGTGATTTCTCACTTTCTGTCTCTCTGTCTCTCTCTGTCTTTCTAACGAGCACACATGCCCTATAGGAACCACCTCTCAAAAAAAAAAAAAAATTCTTCAACTGTCTTCACATCAGCACTCACTGTTCTTTACCTTCACCACTCACATTCACAATATGTAGTGAATGTGATTTATAAATAGTTTACCACTGAGACCTGCCAGTAAATTCCACACCATAGCCCAATCCAGCCTTTCCTTTCAATATCACAATTCATGTTTTTGCTTGAGATCTCTTCAGTCACAGCCTAGAATTACTATTCGACTTCCTAAAGTTAACGACTGATGAGATAAGAAGAGATGAAGCCCAGCCTATAAAATGTAATCTTTTTAAAGTCTACCTTTACAACTTATATATAAGAACCCACACTTATAATAAAGGATAATCCTATCATTTCTTAATACTAAACAAAGGACCAATTTTTGAATGCTTCATCCAAAATTATGCAAAGGTAAACTATGACTGTATTAAGACACATCCATGGTGGAATGAAAGCAAAATGGATTTCAGTAGATTATAAGCCAGGTAGACAAATGTCTTCCAAAGCTTTTTGTCATAGCATGTGCTATTACTTTGAGATAAGATTTTATTCTATAAGCAGATATATTTATCTATCATCTTACTTCTATTCAAAACTCAACTTCTAACTCTTTTTATAAAGTACAATGGTACAAAGTACAATGAAGAAGCCAACAGATGGCATAATGGTTACGTTGCTGGACTCCCGCAGGGTCAACTGCAGTTTGAGTCCCATGACAATGAGACACGTGTGGGTGAGTGCCCAAAATCCAAAAAGGAGGACAGAGGAGGAGGTATTGCAGAATGACCATCACCCATGTGAGGTGATTTCTCTCTTTCTGTCTCTGTCTCTCTGGTGAACACACTTGCCCTATATAGCAAAAACTTTAAATAAAATGTTTTAAAAAGTACAATGGAGCTAACTTGAAAATAATTTAGTTGCCCATTTTGAGTTCCCATCCTATTCTGTGAATGACATTTTGATAAATATGTTTTCCTAAATGTATCCTCCACTTTGCTGTAAAATCTTCAATATATGTATTAATTTTCTATCACTACTTTGGTAATCACCAGAGTACATGATTTAAATGTCTTACTTTTTTCTTTCTTTCTTTTTTTTTTTTTTTTGAGGTATTTGGCATAGGGTACATGTGTTCACTGGAGCAAAAAGAGACAAAAAGAAACAGTGAGAGAAAGTAGGAAATTACTCCATAGAGGAGGGATGGCCATGCCACAGTCTCTTCTCTTTCGTTCTCCTCCTGGGATTTTGAGCATGCACGCACACACTCTTGGTGTGATTTTCAAGCTGTCAATCCAGGACACAAACCATAGTTGGCTATGTGGGAGTCTAACACCTTAACCACCATATCATCTGCTGGCCCCCCAAAAGTCTTATCTTACAATTCTGTTTGATACAAGTCTCCTTGGACTAAAATCAAGATGTGATTCACTAGGTCAAATGTGGAATCCATTTCCTTATCTTTTCTAGCTTTTAGAGACAGATTACATTCTTTGGCTTATGATCTTACATCCATCTTCAAAGGTAATAAGAGCTAGTTGAATCATACTTACATTATATTATGTCTTCCCTGGTCATATTTCCCTCTGACTCTGTAGCAATATATTTTACTCTTTCACTATCTAATGACTACATGGGACCATTCTGGACACTATGGATTATCATTTTAAGGTCAATTGATTGAAAAAAATAAATTTTATTTCAATTTAAATTCTCAGTTGTCACATAATGTAACATTTTTGAAGGTCCCCAGAATTAGAGCATAGGGATCTCTTAGAATCTATTATTCTGGGCATAATTATATAAAGTGTCATGAGCTCAGTAAATATGATACTGAGACAATCAAGGGACTAGTAGATGGCATAATGGTTATGTCGCTGGCCTCCACGTGGCTTCCTATGATTTGAGTCAGTGAGGAACTGACATCTTGAAACTCACACACCAAGCATGTGTGTGTGCATGCCCAAGATTCCAAGAGAAGAGAAGAGCTTGTGGATGGCCTTCCTCCCTGCGGGGGGGGGGGGAGTGTTGACACCTCCTCCTCTGTCACTCTGTCTCTTTCTCTGTCTCTTTGGTGAGCACATGCGTCCAATAGCAAAAAACTCTCCAAAAAAAAAAAAAATTCAAGATTCAGAACCAATTTAATCTAGTTCTTATTCAGCACCATGGACAGCTCCAGGGGTATTACATTTTTGGTTATCTGAAACAGATGAACACCTTTTATGTGGACAATATCCAGGTCTACTTGTACATGAGTCTTATGAAATAACTTATTTACACTATTCCTTTCATGTAATATACAAAGAAAGGCCCCAAAAGACAGAGTTATTTTTCTGTGTCTTTCATGGAAACAGTTGGGCTACCTTATTACACCCTCTATGTCTTATTGTGTAACTTGCACACCATGAAAGATCTTGGACCCTGATGAATTAAAGTCTTCCACGACAACTTTTTTTTAAAAGATATTTTTGCGATAGGGCATGTGCCCTTGACAGAGACAGAGAGACAAAAAGCAAAAACTCACTCCCTAGGGGGAATGACTATACACCCATCCTTTCTCCTCCAGTCTCTTCTTGGGATTATGGACATGCTTACACATGCACCCAACATGAGTTTTAAGCCACCGAATCTGGGACTCGAACCATGGTCATCTATGTGGGACTCGAGCAACGTAACCATTATGCCATCTGCTGGTCTTCATGAAAACTGTTTTTTAAGCTTCTAATGACTATATGTTTTATATACACATTTGAAACTAAACTGAAAAAAATACTTTCAGGGTAAACCTATTCACTTTACCCTTACATATTGATTTGATTACACAATAGTAGATATGCTAAAGAAAGGAATATATGGCCTATGAATAATTTACAAATTTATAATGACGATTATTCTTTCAAAATTCAGGTTTCAAAAGTAAATGTATAGGGAACCAGCAGTTAGCGTAATGGCTATGTCGCTGGATTCCCACGTAGTCAAACACGGTTCGCGTCCCGGACCCGGTGGCTTAAAACTCACGCTGGGCGCGTGTGCGTGCGTGCCCAAGATCCCGAGAGGAGAATGGAGGAGAAGGGATTGCGGCGTGACCATCCCCTCTGGGGGGTGATTTCTCGCTTTCTGTCTCTCTGTCTCTCTCTGTCTGTCTGGCGAGCGCACGCGCCCTGTAGCAAAAAACCTCTCAAAAAAAAAAACAACAACAACAAAAAAGTAAATGTATAAATTAGCAATTTTTTTCTTGATTACTGTTTATAAAATTAGGGACAAATCATTGAAAATTAAATAATATTATTGCAAGAATTCAACATAATTTCCAGAATATATGTAAGAGTTTAAAAACACTTGTGTAAACAAGCATGCAACCTCAATACATTTCCACTTTTTTAATGTAGCCCAGGAAAAGAAAGCAAGTAAACTCATACAATTTTGAAATTTTCTACCATAAAATAATTTTTCTAAATATATAAGGCTGAATAAAACACACCTATAAGTAGATATCCATTTATGTAGTTTCTCAATGATATTTATTGAAACACTCTCTATGAAATCTAATTATATTTGATCAAGTATTTTATATTTCTCTCTTTCCTTTGTGAACATTTTTCCTATCTTCCTTCCTACTCTTCAAATCACTTATAAATGATAAGAGTATTGTATAAGTTCTCTAGCCAGAGAAATGAAAGTAGTAGAAAAAGAATAATGACTACATAGTTGTGCACTTCTCCAAAATGCCTTCTGGATATTCTCAGTGGCATGTTAAAAAATTCAGATATATAATTTAAAAGTAAAGTTATATGTGTTTGAGCCAAACTCCTCTGTAAGAACTCCATCATAAGGAATTCTACATGTTTCATGAAGAATCCAAGAAATGTAATGAAAAAATCAATTCTAAAAATGCTTGGCTTGAAGATCATGTTATCTTGTTTAAATCACCACTTATTTAGACATGAATCATAGGTATATACCTCATTGAAATAAAAATTCCACTCTTTATGAGCAGTATGCTTTTGCGATATGGGCTCTTTTGATTCTAGACAAATTCTATGATTTTTTTTTTTTT